TGTAGATGCGTTTTGCCGGGCCCAAAAAACGCATCTGGTTTTCATTCTTCCCGAAAACCATGGTCCAGGGCCAGCTCCGGAAACGAGCGTAGGAACGGAAGGAGCATGACGTGTAGATGCGTTTTGCTGGGCCCGAAAAAACGCATCTGGCGTGTTTCCGGGCGAGCTACTAATACTAGTACTACTACTACTACTGCTACTGCTACTGCTACTGCTACTGCTACTACTACTACTACTACTAGTACTAGTACTAGTACTAGTAGCAGTCGTAGTACTACAACAACAACAACAACAACAACAACACAACAACTACTACTACTACTACTACTACTACTACTATACTACTACCACTACTACTACTACTACTACTACTACTACTACTACTACCACTACGACTACCACGTTCACTTCTACAACCACTGCGACCACTACTACCACTACTACCACTACTACCACTACTACCACTACTACCACTACTACCACTACTACCGCTACACGACTGCCAGCAACGAGGTCTACATGTGTTTTGCCGGGCCAGAAAAAGCGCATTTGACATCTTGCCGGGCTATTTCAAACACTACTACAACTGCTACTACTACTACGACGACTACTGCGAGAAGAAAACAAGGTCTAAGTGCGTTTTGCCGGGCCATGGTCTGCAGGGCCAACTCCGGAAACGAGCGTAGGAACGGAAGGAGCATGACGTGTAGATGCGTTTTGCCGGGCCCAAAAAACGCATCTGGTTTTCATTCTTCCCGAAAACCATGGTCCAGGGCCAACTCCGGAAACGAGCGTAGGAACGGAAGGAGCATGACGTGTAGATGCGTTTTGCCGGGCCCAAAAAACGCATCTGGCGTGTTTCCGGGCGAGCTACTAATACTAGTACTACTACTACTACTACTACTACTACTACTGCTACTGCTACTGCTACTGCTACTGCTACTGCTACTACAACCACTACTACGACCACTACTACTACCACTGCTACGACGACTACTACTACTAATCCTACTGCTACTACAACCACCATTACCCCTACGACCACTGCTACCACTACTACCACTACTACCGCTATACGACTGCCAGCGCGAAAACAGCACGAGGTCTAAATGCGTTTTGCCGGGCCAAAAACACCCATCTAGCTTTCATTCTTGCCGAAAACCATGGTCCAGGGCCAACTCCGGAAACGAGCGTAGGAACGGAAGGAGCATGACGTGTAGATGCGTTTTGCTGGGCCCAAAAAACGCGTCTGGCGTGATTCCGGGCGAGGTACTATAATACTATTACTACTACTACTACTACTCCTACTACTACTACTACTACTACTACTACTGCCACAACTACGACCACTCCTACTACCACTGCTACGACGACTGCTACTACTAGTCCTACTACTACTACAACCACCATTACCCCTACGACCACTGCTACCACTGCTACGACTACTACCGCTATACGACTGCCAGCGCGAAAACAGCACGAGGTCTAAATGCGTTTTGCCGGGCCGAAAAAACGCATCTGGCTTTCATTCTTCCCGAAAACCATGGTCCAGGGCCAACTCCGGAAACGAGCGTAGGAACGGAAGGAGCATGACGTGTAGATGCGTTTTGCGAGGCCCAAAAAATGCATCTGTCGCGTTTCCGGGCGAGGTACCACTACCACTACCACTACCACTACCACTACCACTACAACTACCACTACCACTACTACTACTACTACTACTACTACTACTACTACTACTACTACTACTACTACTACTACTACTACTACTACTACTACTACTACCGCTACATCGACTGCCAGCACGAAAACAGCACGAGGTCTAAATGCGTTTTGCCGGGCCGAAAAAACGCAGCTAGCTTTCATTGTTGCCAAAACCATGGTCCAGGGCCAACTCCGGATGAGGTGTAGATGCGTTTTGCCGGGCCCAAAACAGCATCTGGGAGCATGCTTCTTCCAGGAGCTGCCTTGAGAATCCACCGCTTGTCTAGGTGCATTTTTCGGGGCCGGGAAAACGCATCTGGGAGCATGCTCCTTCTAGGAGCTGCCTTGAAAATCCACCGCTCGTCTAGATGCATTTTTTCGGGGCCGGGAAAACGCATCTGGGAGCATGGGGCTGCCTTGAGAACCCACCGCTTGTCTGAATGCATTTTTCGGGGCCGGGAAAATGCATCTGGGAGCAGGCTCCTTCTAGGAGCTGCCTTACAAACCCACCGCTCGTCTAGATGCATTTTTCGGGGCCGGGAAAACGCATCTGGGAGCATGCTCCTTCTAGGATCTGCCTTGAAAATCCACCGCTCGTCTAGATGCATTTTTCGGAGCCGCGAAAACGCATCTGGGAGCATGCTCCTTCACCGCTTGTCTAGATGCATTTTTCGGGGCCGGGAAAACGCATCTGGGAGCATGCTCCTTCAAGGAGCTGCCTTGAAAATCCACCGATCGTCTAGATGCATTTTTCGGGGCCGGGAAAACGCATCTGGGAGCATGCTCCTTCTAGGATCTGCCTTGAAAATCCACCGCTCGTCTAGATGCATTTTTCGGAGCCGGAAAACGCATCTGGGAGCATGCTCCTTCTAGGATCTGCCTTGAAAATCCACCGCTCGTCTAGATGCATTTTTCGGGGCCGGGAAAACGCATCTGGGAGCACGCTCCTTCTTAGGATCTGCCTTGGAAATCCACGCTCGTCTAGATGCATTTTTGGGGCCTGGAAAACGCACTGGGAGCATGCTCTAGATGCATTTTTCGGGAAACGCATCCGGGAGAACGCTCCTTCTAGGATCTGCTTGAAAATCCACCGCTCGTCTAGATGCATTTTTCGGGGCCGGGAAAACGCATCTGGGAGCATGCTCCTTCTAGGATCTGCCTTGAAAATCCACCGCTTGTGTAGATGCTTTTTCGTGGCCGGGGGAAACGCATCTGGGAGCAGCTCCTTCTGGGATCTCCTTGAAACATCTCGCCTTGAAAATCCACCGCTCGTCTAGATGCATTTTTCGGGGCCGGGAAAACGCATCTGGGAGCATGCTCCTTCTAGGATCTGCCTTGAAAATCCACCGCTCGTCTAGATGCATTTTTCGGGGCCGGGAAAACGCATCTGGGAGCATGCTCCTTCTAGGATCTGCCTTGAAAATCCACCGCTTGTCTAGATGCATTATTCGGGGCCGGGAAAACGCATCTGGGAGCACGCTCCTTCTAGGATCTGCCTTGAAAATCCACCGCTCGTCTAGATGCATTTTTCGGGGCCGGGAAAACGCATCTGGGAGCACGCTCCTTCTAGGATCTGCCTTGAAAATCCACCGCTCGTCTAGATGCATTTTTTGGGGCCGGGAAAACGCATCTGGGAGCACGCTCCTTCTAGGAGCTGCCTTGAAAATCCACCGCTTGTCTAGATGCATTTTTCGGGGCCGGGAAAACGCATCTGGGAGCATGCTCCTTCTAGGATCTGCCTTGAAAATCCACCGCTCGTCTAGATGCTGGGAGAACACTCCTTCTAGCATCTGCCTTGAAAATCCACCGCTCGTCTAGATGCATTTTTCGGGGCCGGGAAAACGCATCTGGGAGCACGCTCCTTCTAAAATCTGCCTTGAAAATCCACCGCTCGTCTAGATGCATTTTTCGGGGCCGGGAAAACGCATCTGGGAGCATGCTCCTTCTAGGATCTGACTGAAAATCCACCGCTCGTCTAGATGCATTTTTCGGGGCCGGGAAAACGCATCTGGGAGAACACTCCTTCTAGGATCTGCCTTGAAAATCCACCGCTCGTCTAGATGCATTTTTCGGGGCCGGGAAAACGCATCTGGGAGCATGCTCCTTCTAGGATCTGCCTTGAAAATCGACCTCTCGTCTAGATGCATTATTCGGGGCCGGGAAAACGCATCTGGGAGCACGCTCCTTCTAGGATCTGCCTTGAAAATCCACCGCTCGTCTAGATGCATTTTTCGGGGCCGGGAAAACGCATCTGGGAGCACGCTCCTTCTAGGATCTGCCTTGAAAATCCACCGCTCGTCTAGATGCATTTTTCGGGGCCGGGAAAACGCATCTGGGAGCACGCTCCTTCTAGGATCTGCCTTGAAAATCCACCGCTCGTCTAGATGCATTTTTCGGGGCCGGGAAAACGCATCTGGGAGCATGCTCCTTCTAGGATCTGCCTTGAAAATCCACCGCTCGTCTAGATGCATTTTTCGGGGCCGGGAAAACGCATCTGGGAGCATGCTCCTTCTAGGATCTGCCTTGAAAATCCACCGCTTGTCTAGATGCATTATTCGGGGCCGGGAAAACGCATCTGGGAGCACGCTCCTTCTAGGATCTGCCTTGAAAATCCACCGCTCGTCTAGATGCATTTTTCGGGGCCGGGAAAACGCATCTGGGAGCATGCTGTTTCTGGAGACTTCCATCAGTTGTGCCCCCGGAGCGTTGAAAGCTGGTCGAATCGGATCGGTCGAATCGCTTCGGCGCTGGTCGAATCGAAAAATCGGATCGAGCCGAATCGCATCGGCCATCCATGAACTAACAAACAGGGCTAAACCACGCACCTCACCTCAAAAGCGCAAAAAACATGTTCTTCCTCGAGCGGCAAGCGCTGGCGCGGGACATGGCGGGACTTGGACGGTTTTTGTTTTGCAAAAAAAAGGCGACGAGCCGGCCGTGTGGCAGTCGTCTGAGCCGAAAAAGCCAGGTGAAGGCGGGGCTTTTGTCAGGTCTAACCCGTGGATTTTGCTTGCTGGTGCGAGAGGTAATAGTCTGCAGCCATAGTCTGCAGCAATTTCAGCACTTCACCCCTCAAGTAGTACACTCTCAAAGGCCCCCAGCCCAGCAAAACAAAGGGTCGGCCTCGGAAGGGTGCTCAGATTCGCGAATTCAACCTTCAACTCGTTTTAGTTTCTGGGTATTCTTGAGCATTTCAAGGTGTTCATTGTTTGCGTTCTATCATGACGCAAGGCCAACAAAATGCAAGAATTTCGACAGATCCAGCCGCAGCCCCGTTGACCTCCATCTGGTCGCGCCTGATGTGGGCTGCTGCGTATCTGCCAGGATGAAGCTTCTGAGACTGGAGGATCTGCCCTGCCTCCTCAGGGGGTTGACCGAATCCTTATTTCTAGGGGTAACTTCCATTTCCATTCTGAGTGTCCAGGGATCTGAATCTTTCTAGAAAACCACCAGAAACCCTGGGGAAATGGCAGGTTTTTGAAAAGAACGATGGCTGAAAAGAATGGGGAATCAACCCATAGATGATTAGACAAAGGTTTGGATGCGCCTTTTCTGGAGTTCACCGGTTCTCCCCCCCTTGTGGGACTCTTTTCGAGTACTCTTTTAGTACTCTGTTGATATCCTACAGGGGTGATTTCACAAAAGACACATCCAACCCGTTATGTAGACCTATGAATCCTTTGAGACAAGTTTGGCACACCCTCCCCCTTAGGTGAGCGTGTTTGGGCTTCCCCAAAAGGAATCTTCCAAAAGACTTCCTGTCAGCTTCCTTGATTGGAGGCAGGATATCTCCAAGAGAACACTGCGGTCTGTCGACCGCACATTCTTTTTTTACGGCCATGCTTTCTCCAACACATAAGGTGGTCTCGAGGAGGACTACCCTGGGGCCTCCCCGTCTCAGGCGGTCGTCACTACTTTAGAAGACGACATGCACCCTTCCTCCCCAAAATCATCCAACAGGAGTGAAAGCAAACCGTGCTTTGTCCCACTTATTACATTGAATTACATTGACCCCAGGTCCCCTTCCACTATTCACTATACATTGGGTGTCTCTTTTTTGAGGATGGCCCTTTTGGGTGGTTGTAAAGGGACACCAAAGGGACAACCACTATTTTACGAGCCCCATTTTATCTTATATTCTCATTTAAACCATTTGTTTTCTCCGTGTTTGTCTTTTTTTAAGCACACACCCACACTTGGGTTCCAACCCTTTATCAATCAAGGCCAACTGATCCGTGTAGGGATCCAATGCGACATGCTTTCGTGGCACCCATATTTACTCAGATGCCCAGTAGATTCAAAACTGGCATCCTTTCTTGGTTTGTTGACTTGAAAGGGGGAACCCTTTCCCAAAAAACAAAAGAAAAAAGGGGCGGAATCCACTGGGCAAGGGTTTATGACATCCAAGCCTCCCCGCCCCGAATTTCTCTGGCTGCTTCTCAATGAGGAATGGGGCTGGCATCCTATCATTCGTTTGCAAGTTTCAAGCCTCGAAATACAAAGCTGCGCCTTTTTGGGGCCATGACTAAAAATAAAGCAACCTGAGAAAAATACAATGAGAAACATAAAAAATAGAAAACACATGAGAGAACCACAATTTGAGAAAACCAACAGGTCAAAAGTTTGATTCCTTTTGGACCAGCGAGAACTCGCAAATCCAAAACCAACTGCTCCTTCAGCAGGTCCCCGCGAATCTGCAGGCCATTGAAGACCTCAGATGGAGCTGGGGGAAGCTTTTCAGGGAGGCTATGGGGGTGGGTGGGGGGGCAGGGGGGGTTGGGGTGTTGGGGGGGGGGGGGGGGCAATTTTAGCCGTCAACAAGGCCTTATTAAGGGGGTAATAAGGGTACGCCCCTCCCCCACCCCCCGCCCCCATAGCCCGTAGGGGTCCATGAAACATGCTTGCCGGGGGTGGTGCGGGGACACGTTGCCGTTCATTGCGTTACTTTGCGTTACATTCTATTATGCCAATCTGGATTCGGCGTCGAAACCTCTGCTGGGGCCCAAGGGGTGAGTTTGAAGCTGGACCTCGTAAGCGCGGATTCACTGGCCCGTGGCATTACCGCTTCCGCCCAAGCGAAACAACGTTGGACAAGTGGGCGGGATCTAATTTGGAATTGTCTTGCCACCAAGAATATTTGGTGTCCCCATGTTTCGCTTTCAACATCGCCCCAGCAAAAGGACACTCACTTTAGGCTTGCCAACAACGTGATGCTGAAACCAACAAAACAAACATGTACTCCTTCAATTAGCGTGGTAAAAGTTATGGCTTGTGGAGGAATCTTGTTTTGGGCAAACCTGGCAAAGAGACCACTTTAAGTTGGAAGTTTGTCGCACTGTGCACCTCCCCCCCCCAAAAAAAAAAGAAAAACAAAGTGCATCGGTTTCCTTTTGTTTCTCCCAATCTTAGGGTCAAGTGAGCCATATTCAAAACAGATCGGATTTAAAATGGTCTGGTTAGAAACATGTCAAAAATCAAGAGGCGGCTGCGCCGTGCGAATTTTCACCTACCCACGTTTTGTGGCATCGACTGCTCACCTTGAGCTCGAGTCGCCGCCTGCGTCGCGGCGGTGCGCTGCTCATTTGAGATGCCCAGGAGACACTCGAAGTGGGAGATCCTCGTCTCCATCTGACCGAAACACCAGTCCTGCGCCATGGGTTTGCCGGGTGGGGTTGAAATTTGGATGAGAAAGCTCACGTGTTAGGCAAGCAAATCCTCAGAACGCATCAGGGGCACGACCAATTTCAGTAGCCTGCCCGGAGAAAGAAGCGACTCAAAGCCAAGTTTCGGTGCAGG